AGGTTAAAAACTGGAAAAAGTTCAGAGAAAAGGGACACTCAGGGACAAAAAGAGTCAGTAGCGATGCTAACATTCCCCAAATCCCCGTTTACATGGATGCTAACTGAAATGACCCCATCATGTCGGGAGTTTACATGCACCGAGCATTCAGGTTAAATAGGTTGAGCACGTGCAGAGTTGTCTTTCACAGAAAAAAAATTGTAAACAAACTGCATCTTGTCCGCACGTCGTTCCCCTCGCTTTTTATTTTCTTATTCTCAAGCTTTGTCCGTTGGTTTGCGTTTTGTCTCCGTTATGGACGTTCTTCGTAGGGATGGGTACGTTTGACATTTGAATCGATCCGGTACTAATTCCCGGTACCTACGAATCGATACCGGTACTTAACGGTACCAATTTTCGATACTTTTGAGTGTTTAATATTTTTAATTCTCTTTTATAATTAAGTATATATTTTTCTCAATATATAACAATATTTGATAAATATCACGATAAATAACATACAACTGTTTGTATTTTAACATCGTCCTTGTAGTTTTATAAGTTGATAATTAAACTGAAGCAAACATCTTTACTGTGAACTAAATTTACTGTGTATCTTCATTCCTTTTGCCGTCCTTTTTCATTTGATTTTTCCTACTGGGAAGTTAGAATTTCCGAGGAGAAAGCGAACGCATCATTAGCTGATAACAACGGTGGCAATGGAAGCTAACATATCAAGCTAACGTTATCTTAAACAGTTTATTTAGCTGCTGGAGCAGATTAAAACGATGATGCCTCACACTTAGATCGTTGTCACTGGTTTCATCTTCACCCAATCACCCGTCGCATTTAGTAAAGTGAAGCCAAACTTTAGAGCGCGTTCATGCTCTTCTAGTCGGAATTTCGGAGTTCCGAGGAGAAAGCGAACGCACCATTAGTGAAACGGAAGCTAACAAATCAAGCTAACATTATCGTAAACATTTTATTTACCCACTGCAGCTGCTCTGTTTACAACTCGCTCGCAGCGACCCATGACTTAACGCTCTTGCGCATGTGCAGCTGTCTAGGCAAGTTCTCGTTGTGAAGGACGGGTACCGAAACGAGGCACCGTTTCAAATGAAGTGAATCGGTGCTCGGTCGCTACTGTGGAATTCGGTCGGTACCTTAAAAAGTACCGAAATCGGTACCCATCCCTAGTTCTTCGTATTTTCACCTGTATGCTTTTGTTTTTACTGATCGTTTTAACTAAGCTACAAGCTAACCCGCTCCTCCGCTACAGGAGAGCAGGATAACTTAATATTGATCACCCGCTCGCTAGTTAGGGTAACTGTCCTCCAGCTCCTCAGACTTGTCCTGGACGGCTGCAAAGGTGGAAAAACGTCACACTTGAGTCGCACACACGCTCAGTGGGCATTATTTAACTCCAACAATCCAAATGGAAGTGTACATGGACGTCAATCGGAATGATGATCAGACAAAACCACCTCTCTCAAGTGGGACTAAATTTCATTCCGATTGGGCCGTGTCAGATCAGAATATTTTGATTGACATGTTCACGTGAAGAATTTGTGATCTGATGATTGTTCATTCTGATTACTTGTGCGCATGTAAACGTAGCTGATGCTGCTTCTACAATCTACAGGTGGTTCAGAACGCCTGTGCTCGGCTTCTGACCAAGTCCTCCAAACACACCCACATCACCCCGCTTCTCCTCCAGCTTCACTGGCTGCCAGTCAACTTCAGGGTTCATTTCAAGATCCTGGTTCTGGTCTATAGGGCCTTACATGGACAAGCACCATCTTACATTGGTGATCTTCTTAGTCCCTACACCCCCAGCAGGTCCCTGAGGTCCAGTGACCAAAGCCTACTGGACCAAAGGACCAAAGGTGACAGATCATTTGCTGCTGTGGCCCCCAGACTCTGGAACTCTCTCCCCCTGAGCCTGAGATCAGTGGACTCAGTGATCTCCTTTAAAAAGCAGCTGAAGACTCACTTGTTCAAGCTGGCTTTTGTATGACTTTCTTCACCCTCTCTTTATTCTGCTCTCCCCACCTATTCCACCTTCCTCAGGATCCACTGATTTCCCTCTTTCCTGTTCACTCTCTCTCTTTCTTAACATTTTTAATCACAATTGTCTATTTTGTTGCTCATTTTAAATATATTTTTAATCATTTTCTAAATTCTTTTTATATATTTTCACATTTTTTGTTTTTGTGAAGCGCCTCGTGATTTTTATCTTGAGAGGCGCCATAGAAATTATATTTTCTTCTTCTTCTTCTGATCTAACTGTGAGGAGCCAACATTAAACTCCTTGTGTGTTTGCAGCCACAAGGTCACTGAAACTGTAAATCCACTCTAGGGCTGCACAATATATCGTAAATATATCGTTATCGCGATATCAGCATGCACAATATGCATATCGCAAAGAACGGATAAATATCGCGATGAATGGTCAGCTCAAATGTTTGCTACACATGATGCATTCTGTCAGAAGTGTGATTTTTTTTTAACAAATCAAATCGAGCTCTTCACCCATTTGGCCAATCAGGTGGGTTCTCGTAGGTTAGATGCCCGCCCCCAAGGCGGAAGACACTTAATTTTGATGGTTAGCGAACACCTGAGTTAGCTTTGTTCTGCTCTTTTTGCTGATTCAGCTTTTCACGGGATGCACTGATCGCCTTTTCTTGTTCATTTTCTTTTCCCCTTTCCTCACATCTTTTGCTTTTCTCATTTTATTATTTGTAATTTCTTTGTTTTTGATTATTTTTGTTCCTGAGTTAAGTTTTTATTTATGGTAAGTAATATCGTCATCGCAATATTAATCACTGTTATCGCAGATCGCAGGTTTTCCTAATATCGTGCCGCCCTAATCCACTCCTTACTGATGGACGCGACTGCAGGTCAACATTCTAAACAGCACAAACCAAAATGCAGCTTCTGCACGGTGAAAGCGCAGAGTTAGGGCCGATGTGACCTGGAAGTATGCAACGTTCCATCTACAAGGCTATTTCATAGGGAAAATGCTCATTTCCAGATGAAATCAGTGCTGTGGGTCATTCGACAGTTCACTGACTAGTTTTATAAACGTCTGGGTCATCAGGGCCATTTGAAAAAACAATAGAAGAAACTGTGACCATTACTGTAGGGGAACCTTTCTAATCTAATTACACCACAAAGTTTAATTTACCCCTTTTACCAAGAGCACCTGGCTGCAGACCTCCACTGTCAGGCTGCTTCCGGTGGAGGCTCCACTGTCAGGACGGGAAATGCACGGGATACATTACAAAATAAAACAACAAACGTACTTACGCTTGTAACTGATAGGTTTCAGTACAAAATATTATGTAAAATATATCAATTATTTCTCTATAGTTCGTATGTAGTTGTCATTTAACACACGTACGGTTGTAATTTTTCTAAATGAATTAACGAATGGTCGGGGTAGGTTTCAACATAAAACGTTAACATACGCTAACATACTTCTGGTCGTCATATTTCTAAATAAATTCCCGAATGCTGTTTCGGTTGAATCGCTTTCCTCACAAACGCATTCATTTTTTAATATTACGTCTTAGATTATGACAGAATATATCATAATGACCACGTTGTGCAACAGTAAAGGAAAACACAACAACAAAAATGACAAACAAAACCAAGGTTTACTAAATAAATGACAACTATATATGAACTATAGAGAAATAATTGATAGATTTTACGAAATATTAAAAATTAATGCGTTTGTGAGGAAAGCGATTCAACCGAAACATCATTCGGGATTTTATTTAGAAATATGACGACCGGAAGTATGCTAGCGTGTGTTAGCGTTTTATGCTGAAACCTACCCCGACCATTCGTTAATTCATTTAGAAAAATTACAACCGTAAGTATGTTAAAGAGCAAGTCACCCCCTACCAGATTCTTACTCAACTCCCACTTCCTGTTTGAAAAATGCAACAAATGCTGTTGCCTAGCAGACCAAGAGGGCGGAGCCACTAACAAATACACACACTCACCACATTGTGACATCATAATGTACCATCTAACATCATAGTGTACCTCCTAGCCAATAGCGATGGCAGATTTAAATTCAAATGCTGTGCAGAGTTTTTACTTGACAACGGCACAACGCTGACAGTTTTAGGCAGAATATTTAAATTTTAACTAAGAAGAACTAAAATGCCGAATTATTGACTACATTTGCCTACAGCACGATCAGACACTCATTTATATAGTTTATCAATAAAAAAATGTTCATTTGGAGTGACTTGCTCTTCAAATGACAACTACGTACGAACAATAGAGAAATAATTGATAGATTTTACATAATATTTTATATTGAAACCTATCAGTTACGAGCGTAAGTACGTCTGCCGTTTTATTTTGTAAGGTATCCCGTGCATTTCCTGTCCTGACAGTGGAGGTCTGCAGCCAGGTGCTTCCCCTTTTTACTCACACCAACACCTCTCAAAGCGTTCTCAATGTTCTCTCTGACTCGGACACCAAACTGAGGCTTACACACACCCACGACAATTATTAAAGTGTTTTAGAGGAAATTTGACAAACACATTTTTTGTTTGATTAAAAACTCCGGCACCACCACGCAAAAAGCTCTGCTACTAATGAAGAACGTGGTAAAACTTTTACATTTAGCATTGAGACCTGCAGATTGAAAACAATCCTATTGAATCAACTGAATAGCTGAAGGATTATAATATCTTCAGAGATCAGACATGAACTATTATTTATACTTGGTGCAGATTTAGTTATTCAGTTGATGAAAAAGATCTTTAGTCAGATGTTTGAAAAGCTTTAGTAATGTGGTGTCTTTCTTTCAGTTTCTTTCTAAGTGTTTCACTAGCAAGGATTGTTTTTGGTTTATTCATTCCAACATTGTAAAAAAAAGTCACTTCCTGCGTGACAGGAAGAAGCTAAAAAAAACGCTGCTGCTAAATGTGACTTTAGTGCCCTTTTCAATCACCTCACAGTCTGAAACTTCATTTGTTTTGGGTGTTTTTACTCACGGTGGGGACGTATTCTGAGGGAAACTTGTTGGTGGTGTAAGAGATGAGCAGGCAGGTCTTCCCCACCGCACCGTCACCCACCACCACACACTTTATGGTCTGCATCTGCGAAGGAAACACGAAATTAGGTGGCTCTTACCCAAAACTCATCCCTAAATGAGTTAAAGCAGCTAAAGAAAGAGCATGGTGATGACATAAGCACATAATAATGGAGTTAATGGCTGCCAAAGAAATCTCCTGCCATTCCCATCCTTTTCAGACAAGTTTTAGCAAGACGGAAACAAATCTGAGCCCCAACGAAGCACCGTGAGCAGGAATTGTTTAGGAAACAAGTCGATTACTGTTTGTACCTAGACAGAGCAGTTAGCATACCCAGGCTGCTGCCTTGTTAGGAGGCACAACAGCAGAGAGGTATGGCTGGTCTCTCCATAACTGGCTCTTTGTTTGGGCCAATTGGCTGCAGCAGCATTCGGCTGAACTCTGATGAGTCAGGGACAAGGTCACGGCTGCAGGTTGGTTATGACAGGAAAACATTCCTCGGTAGCAATTCACGCGGAAACAATCCGGAACGATTAGCAACAAGCGTGCCTTTCCAATGCACCCTTTGTTTCTGGAACACACACTTACCTGCAATATCAAGTCGGTCCTGTTTGGCAATCAGCAGCGTTCATAACTCGAGATAAATGATAAGTGATGCAGACATATTTTTTTCCACTGTCAAATTAAATCACTTAAATCAGTTTCACGTTCAAACTGCACTAATATTCTCCAACTTTACATTTTATTGGTTGGGATGTAAAAATGTAAACATTTATTTCAGACTTAATAAAATAATGAGACACAAAAAAATTAGAATTAGAACTAGAGGGTAAAAACAAGCTCAGAAGAATCGCTAAAACGGATTTCAAAGATAAATGTGCAAAACCTTTCCTAATTTTTTAAATGGACTGAAATCTACGCAGACGACATACAAACCACAGACACGACTCGGTTATTTCACCATTATGCTATTTTGTCACACAACTGCAATAAGAACTAAGTGTTGTTCTTGATGAAATAACATTTAGGCAACTGAATGTTGATGGTAATCAAAATCAACGCAAAGATCCACACAAGTGTAAAAAGGAACGAATGAGAACATTTTCCAGGCAATTCATAAGTTGTAAGTTTTTTGTATCTTAAACTAGTCAATGGCCGTTGAATTTGTTCTTTTGAGCTCTAAAAGCTAATAATTTATTACATCATTATAAAACACACAAAATAACCTAAACATAACACTCGAAATTAATTGATGTCTAACCCAAATCAACTCAAACTACAATTATAGTTAGAAACATGTCAGATTTTACGTATTCATTATTGACAGAACTAATCAATCAGAAAATATTAACAATCGACCTCAGTATGTTTTATTTCTATACAAACGTTTCTGAGATTTAAGTATTTCACTTTTCATTTAGTTTCTTTCAGATTTTTCTTATTCTTAGCCACTTCCGCGTCGAAACCCTTTTTAAAGGGACTTATCCCAGACCAGCCCGACTAATGACGTTAGAAAAGGTTATCCAAACGTAAAGTTATTAAGAGCTGATAGACGTTTAATTGTTTCTTTACCTAAAGCCAATAGCTGATTTAAAAACGCCAGTCTGATCGAAAGCCAAACCTCTAAAAGTCAAACTAGTTGTTTAAAATGTTTTTAAAAATTTAAATAAGCAAAACAAATTTAACAGATTTGTTTAATTTAGTCAAAAAAATAAAAGCTGACCCGGTTCATTGAAGAAAATAAAGATTAAAACAAAAACTTAAGACTCACCGGTAACTTTTTGGGCAGATTTACGAACGCTGCTAGCTTAAAGTTAGCTAAAGGATACAGTTTGTTTGGACAGCTGTTAGCAGGTATAATTATATATATCCACACACTAACAGCGTAAACAATGACTAAATAAAGTGTTACGATAGAATACAAGGTTCTTTTTCAGTTTTTATTTCTGTATTTATCGTGGTAATGTGCCGATAATGAAGCTGGTAGCTCCTACCTTTCTGCCCTCAGTTGTCGTAATGTGGTGGCGCATTCAGGTTCTTCCCGTAAATTCCCCTTTCCTCCGTGACCGGAAGTCGAAGGAATGAATTGAGTTACGTTCATGTACACTTGGAATTAGGACCTGGCTGCAGACTGCAGCCAGATGTTCGTATTTATGTCACACGAGTCTGGACTCCAGTCAAACAAAGCTGGTTTTATTTTAGTTTAGAAGTTTTATAGATGTTTGAATGATTCATAAAATTGTGTTAGCTCAAGTTTAGTGTCTGGACACAAATAGATAATTCATTAAAGCTGTTTGCAATCAAAGTAAAGAAAAGAAATAGTCCAGAATAAAAAAAAAGAGCTTGAATTTTCACACACAAAAGGGGTTATTATGCTACTTGCTCCAAGTAAATTTTCACTCCAAATCCACTGGAAATGAAATAATATTTTTCTACATATAAAGAGAAAAGTGCTGTAAACATTTCTGTGTGCTTTTGGGAATCCATTTAATTTTAGTACATTGTTATTTGACACAGTGGTACTAACCAGCAAGTTAGTTTTATAACTAAGTTAGAAAAGTTTTTATTAGAAGCCAAATAAACACCTTCTCTATTTAGATGATAAACAACAAACATCTTGGGGTCTCTTCGAGTTATTTTTTTACCTTATAGCGCACTAAATCATGCACTAAACCTATTGGCTAGAAGATTAAGGGCATGTTTGACCCCATCATTACCATAGCTCTGCATTGTTTTGAACAAGAGCAAAGATCAATAATGATATTACATTTTAATTTAATTCTGAGAAATTGAAAAACGTGTCACACTGAGAAATAAAATTTTACTTTTAAAGGTCAAGTTGATTGCATGGGTAGAAATGGCTGCAGACCACAGATGCTGTGGTGTTCCAAAGCGACATGTGGGTGTTTTGGATGAGAATGTAACCCAAACCAGAAATAGAAAATACGTTTCAATAAAACATTCCCTCAGAGCTGCTTTCTGTGGGATGAATGTGCGTGTTTGGCTGTCCTGGCCATCAGTCAGAGCTGCAGGCAGAGGGCGAACTTGCTGACGGGAAGGCCAGTCGACCTTCTGCGTAACGCAGCAGAAAATAAGATCATTACAATGCAGGTCACTTCTCTAGAAGCCTATCACACTGCAAGGCTTTTCTTTTTGTGTATATCTTCACAATAATGTGATCACACACTCTGATTTCATCATTTTTCTCCCTCGTCTCCCTATTTTTAAATTCTTTGCGTCTCCCTCCATGTGTCTCTATCAGCTGAGGCCGACCGAGACAGTGGATGTCAAGGACGTCGTGCTGCTTGTCTCCCAAAGATAATCCCATTAAACTCAAGAAATTTAATTATAGATTATCTCACACACTCACACACACACAGTCGTGCCAGCACATAAGCCCATTTAAAGACATGCACGCATGTGGACTTACACACCTGCCTGCACACACAAACAAGTACAAAGATGCATGAATATAACACCCATGGAGGCGCACACACACACACACACACTCACTCCTTTGCCCTGTCAGTGTGTATCAGTGTCACCCTGCAGGCCACATTTCCAGTGCCACCATGCAGCAAGGACACAGCCAGCGTCAGTCTGCAGGGAAACAAACCAGTAAACGATAAAACTTTTGAACAACTTTTAGTTCAGTTTCATCACCTTTCGTCTCATGTGCTGCAAACAGGAAGAGGGGTTGCCTTTCTGTACTTTATTTTACAAGTTTTGAACAAATTTGGCAACTCCTGCAGACGGTTTCTCTCACAAAGACCTCTGATAAGATAAATCCCTGTTTGGTAAATCATAATGAAGCTCCTGCGTGTTTAAAATGATAATTTCAGATTTTTTTTTCTGTATGAAAGTTATAAAAATATAAGATAGGTTTCTGAAAAGCCTCAGTTGGGAGAAATGAAGAGGATTGGTGCGCTCAAATAGTTGAGACACAAGTCATGAACAAAGTGTCATGACCCTTTAGCTGACTGGTCAACCATTTTGTAGAGCCCCTTTTAAGGTGTGGAACACAGAGAAAAACATTTTTGATAATATTTCTGATCATAATCGAAGTAATCAGAGTGTTTCTTGCAGGCTGAACATGAAAATAGTCTCCTACACCTAGGGATGGGTACCGAATTCGGTACTTTTTAAGGTACTGACCGAATTCCACAGTACCGACCGAGCACCGATTCACTTCATTTGAAACGGTGCCTCGTTTCGGTACCCGTCCTTCACAACGAGAACTTGCCTAGACAGCTGCACATGCGCAAGAGCGTTAAGTCATGAGTCGCTGCGAGCGAGTTGTAAACAGAGCAGCTGCAGTGGGTAAATAAAATGTTTACGATAATGTTAGCTTGATTTGTTAGCTTCCGTTTCACTAATGGTGCGTTCGCTTTCTCCTCGGAACTCCGAAATTCCGACTAGAAGAACATGAACGCGCTCTAAAGTTTGGCTTCACTTTACTAAATGCGACGGGTGATTGGGTGAAGATGAAACCAGTGACAACGATCTAAGTGTGAGGCATCGTCGTTTTAATCTGCTCCAGCAGCTAAATAAACTGTTTAAGATAACGTTAGCTTGATATGTTAGCTTCCATTGCCACCGCTGTTATCAGCTAATGGTGCGTTCGCTTTCTCCTCGGAAATTCTAACTTCCCAGTAGGAAAAATGAAAAATGACGGCAAAAGGAATGAAGATACACAGTAAATTTAGTTCACAGTAAAGATGTTTGCTTCAGTTTAATTATCAGCTTATAAAACTACAAGGACGATGCTAAAATACAAACAGTTGTATGTTATTTATCGTGATATTTATCAAATATGGTTATATATTGAGAAAAATATATACTTAATTATAAAAGAGAATTAAAAATATTAAACACTCAAAAGTATCGAAAATTGGTACCGTTAAGTACCCGTATCGATTCGTAGGTACCGGGAATTAGTACCGGATCGATTCAAATGTCAAAAGTACCCATCCCTACCTACACCTATATCCTGCATTAGCTTCTGATAGAACACAGACGATGAAACTCTAGGATTAGAACATCCTGACAGATCTACGTCACCCTGTCACTTCACATTCATGGACTCACCCAGCCTGGCCTGCCAGACTCACCCTCTGTCTACACAGAGGACGAGTCTGGATACTCAGAGGCGGAGCGCACCATGGGGGGTGGGACTAGTCAGCTCAAAAATAACTTGTCGTGGTTTTAAAGACGTCCAAGTCGTTCAGAACAGAGGAAAGAGCTGCAGCGAACTCCGCTTCAGACGCCGTCTTTGTAGTTTATGAGAAACCGAGCATCGCGGTGTGTGACGTACGCTGCTCAGCGCTGATTGGCTCAGTTTGAATTCTCAGGGGCTGGGGTTCTTTGAACGGGAGCGTTGCCACGCCAATGCTTCCCTTGAGGACGAGGAAGCATTGGCATGGCTGGCCGGTCTAGGACTCACCCACCTTGGCTTGTTACGAGGAAGGCTGTCATTGGTTTAGCGTCCAGGAAATAGCAAAGAACGTCTTGAACAGTAGAAGCTAACCGTTAGCATTAGTAACTCCACCACACAGCAGAAGCTTCTCCAAGCTTGTATTTTTAGTGGACATAAAACATCAACGTTGCAGAGCAAACAGTCAGTAGTGGAGTCACGTTGATGTCATCCAATCCGAGATGTCCAAATATCAGGAAATAAGAGTCTAAAGCCTGCTGTTTGAAGCTCAGCTAACTTTTAGTTTCTGGAAATGCTGCACCAGTGTCCGACTTACGAGGCTTTCATTCCTACTAGTGTTGGAGTGTTCCACACCGTTCTGTCTTACTGAAGCATGAACCACATTTTAGAATAAAAACATTTTATATGAAAGACACACTTGGCAGTTTTGCAAGCTTTTAGCATCCCCCTAGTGTCCGCTGTCATTCACCGAAAATAAATAGTGAGTTTGTCTTTTTAACCCCACAATCTAACAGCTGAAATGTCTCCCCAGCCTTCATTAGCGTCGACAGGATCAGTGCATCACTAAATGAATCAAATCAGCTGGTTTCATGATCTAAAACATGCAGGAAACGTGCTGGAAACAGACGCGGCGCCAGTTATGTCAGCTCCACAGCTGTGGGGCTCTGAGTGACATTTCATTATCCCTAAAGAGTCATTTTAGACCACACCGGCTCAAGAAAAGGATCTAAAAATATGAAAATGTTGCGCAGTATCCCGTTAAAACACAAAAAATACGAGGACATTTGAATAGAAAGTTCAACTTTATCAGTTTACATTCATTTTATCCCAACATTAATGAATTTGCTGTCATGTAAATAAAACCCTTAATAGCGTAGAGGAATTTTAAACCAAGTGATGATTTCTACCAGACTAGCAGGCAGAGCATCCTCCCGTCTGAGTGTGGTGATGAAGCATGGATTATATAACCGTGTGAACATCAGCTGAACCCCAGAACAGCAGCAGAGGAAGACGAGGAGACGCCGGTCCTCCCTTCGTCTATTTTTACCTCCACTGCACCCCGTCCTTATGCCTTCATCCAAACCCTTAGTCCATCTTCTTCTTTTTAATTAGCACTCCTCTTCCTCTCCATCTCCCCTCTGAGTCATCTCCCCTCCCCCCCTTCATCATACATCTCACCCCCTCCTGCTCCCCTCCTGTTTTCCTCCCTCTCCCTCTCCCGTCGCTCTGCTTCTCCAGTATTTTCTGGCTGGCCGCAGAAGGCAGGACACACACACTCACACACACGGGAGGCAGGTAAAGGCGGAAAATCCTATCTTTGTTTTCTCGTCTGCTCCTCCGGCTTTTGTGTGTCTCCATCACATTTTTTTTAATTTATTTATTTTTTCATATTTTGAGTCATTGCAGGTTAGTGGCTTTTACGGATGCAGCTTGAGTGTGTGTGTGTGTGTGTGTGTGTGTGTGTGTGTGTGTGTGTGTGTGTGTGTGTGTGTGTGTGTGTGTGTGTGTGTGGCCGAAATCTATCTTTAGATGCATGAGGGATGGAATTTGCCATCAGGTGTGCTTGTGGGCGTGAAAGAAACAAGAAGGGTTAAAGATGTGTGTGTTTTCACTCTACAGTGTCTGTCTGAGATGACAGTGTGTGTGTGTGTGTGTGTGTGTGTGTGTGTGTGTGTGTGTGTGTGTGTGTGTGTGTGTGTGTGTGTGTGTGTGTTTGATAAAATTGCAAATTAGAAGGTGAAGGAATCAGTGTTGCAGAAAGTGTGTGTCAGGAGAGCAAAGACGTATGTTTGTATGATGCAGTTTTAGTGTTACTGTGTCCAGGTGGGTGTAGCAGGGTGTGTGTGTGTGTGTGTGTGAGAGAGAGAGAGAGAGAGAGAGAGAGAGAGAGAGAGAGAGAGAGAGAGAGAGAATCATGTCATGTCAGTTCGCGACAACATTGCTGACAGAAAAATGTGTGTGTGTGTGTGTGTGTGTGTGAGTGACTGCTTGTGTGTGTGCAATGTTGCTGCACAAATCTCATTCTTTTGTATAATGGCTGTCAAGTGTGTGTGTGTTTGTTCATATGAATATTGACTGCAGTAACAGAGACTGTGTGTGTGTGTGTGTGTGTGTGTGTGTGTGTGTGTGTGTGTGTGTGTGTGTGTGTGTGTGTGTGTGTGTGTGCGTGCATGTGTGTGTGCGTGCGTGTGTGTGTGTTATGGTTATGGTAAAGTGTTTCATCAACAGCAGTTGTGTTTAAAGAGGCAGCAGAGATACCTGAGTGTGTATTTTATTTCAGGGAACATTTTAGGATTATTATTTATTTTATGTTCCTACTAAAAGGAGAACAGATTTTTAATAATAGCAAATTTAATTGACTCATTTTATGCTAAAAATGGTAAATTTGACATGTATGAATCCTTTCGTGTTCAAGCTTAACTTGTGTGTGGAGTCTCAGTCGTCCAGTTCGTGATTATCGTAATAATCACAATAATCATCGAGATAATGATCATTAAAGACGTCTCACCTCAGAGAAACAAGAAAAGTCCAGATGTTTCCAACAAAACCTTCGAGACTGTCAAGTACATTGTTCAAACTACATATATGGAATCCCCAGAAAGCAAGGGAAAAAAAGGAAACTGATAAAATAAAATAAAATAAAATAATAAAATAAAATAAAAATAAAATTGGCTTGTTCTATTTTGGACCAGAATAGGAAAATCATTTGGAGATGTATCTGATTTTTTCTTCCTACATTTTAGAGCGGAACACAATCTTGTATGTTTCTGTTAGAAACAAGAACACATCTTTAGTCATTACATTTGCACTAAAAAGAGACCAGGCCCAGAAAATGTATTTTTGCTTTTCAGGGCTTCCGTAGGTTTAGCATGATCCTCAGGATACTTCATACATTCTTGTTTCAGCCAAACGAAAAGATGCATAATGCAACAAACACCATGTATCTTTATGCTCGACCCGGTTAATGAACTCACTCAGATTTAGCGCAGGTTCACCTGCAGCTTTGGCCACTTTTGCGATCTTTCTGGGATTTCTGCACAGTCATGAACCCATCTGAGAAATCCTGCAGCTTCTTGGGTTTTTCTGCCTCTTTCACAGATCAGCAAACACACTAATCCTCCTTGACCTCCCTGCTGTCACTCTCCTGTCCAGGAAAATGTATTGCTGCTAAGTGATAAGCTTTATCAGTGGCGGTCCTTCATCCTCCGCTGCATCGGCCTCTCTTTGATCATCTCTCTTTTCTACAGCGTCAGTAAAATTACAGGCCTACTAAAGAAACATGGGGCACTCTGCTGCTGTGGTATTTTGTGATGGTTGTTGGGAACTACGGGCGGAGACTGTGGTTTTTACACCAATATTTGGAGGAATGGGGATGGTCTACACATGGATGTTTGCAGTCTGGATGCATTGGCTCCACATTCTGATTAGTTAATGTGATGGAATGGTTTTAAATTAGTTCATCAAAAGATAAATAAGTAATAAAACTGTGATGCTCATAAAGTTTCCAAACTCTTCCTCACTATACCCCTCAGTCATACATCTGCCTGGCTCCCTTTCCAGTCGGATCACGGGTCCCTGAACGAGACTAATAACGCTATTTTCTAATCCTCGTTGCCGTACGCCCTGGATCACACATATGTTGTACTGTAGTTTAAATGAAAAGTAATGATGGGTGTTTCGACCACGCCTGACATGTACTTTGAGATTTATCAGCTTGTAAAAGTTCGTAATTAGCATAACTACACACCATGAATCGGCACGTCGCATGTGTGACGTCACCACATAATCTCCTCCCCCCCTAGCGTAGATTTATGGCGGTTCTTTCCTCCTGAAGGAAGGATTTGAAGTTTGCTGAACTTGCAGCCGTTTTCCCTCCGTTTTTTTTTCCGTGCGTGGTTCGATGGCGTCACTTTCGTGAAGCGCTTTTGTAGTCCTGGACTTATTTTCACACAAAACCTAAAAGAGCATTTTCCCCTGTTTGAAAATAAGCACAGTCTTGGAATCAAAATGCTTCTTTAAAATTCACGCGCATCATATTTGAAATCCACGGCACAAAACAAGCGGATTTATAAAATAGCGTTTTTAGCCCCGTTGACTTGCATTCATTTTTCGTTCTTCCAGAGACCCGTGGTCCGGAAGTAGATGGGCGTGACTTAGGCTTCCTATAGTGTTTTATTTTTATGTTTATTTCAGTTGCACAATCTCAGTGCATGGCCTCCTGCACAAGTTTTCTTTATATTGACCTTATTTTTAAAAAATGCACCTGAAATAAAACCATAGTTGTCTTTTCCAGAAGAGTACGAAACGTTGGTTACTGCCTGAGCACGAAGCTTATTGTTGCTGATTCACTGGAGCGGTTTGTTTAAATGGCTAAATGCTAGTTAGCGCGTGTGTGTCTGAACAGAGCCCTTTAAAGGTCAGGGGTAAAAATGGAAACAGTGATTGATAAATGTTTGGAAAATCGTGCACATGGATTTTACAACCGCACTGGTGCTCGTGAACAGCTGGTGTCGTGTTGAACTGGGTTTCTGGTGCAGAGCAGGGTGTGGTGTCTCACTGCGACTGATGGAGACTCACGTCAGATGCAAACACAGAGGTACAACGTTTTTATTTAACTTCTGAGGAGGTCACATGACTTATGATGTCATTGTAAACTAACATTAACCACCTTGTTATAATTTCATAACCTAATTCACGTCTCAGTTTGGCTGCCAGATTCTTCCGGAGTGTTCTTACATTTTCTGAGCCACGCAGACAAAACTGAAAACCTCCAGATGAGCCCTGAATGATCGACTCTGTGACTTTTTGAGAGATTGACTGTTGTACAGTTAAGTTTTGTGACTTGTGAAAATATTAAAAACATTTGGAGACACTTTGGCAACTCCCTCGCAAATGCAACTTACATGAAATCATAAAAATGTGCATTTGTGTGTGTTTTTGCCATGTGCGTCCACTGTATTACAACACAGTTTAGTGTGGATATGTGTGTGTGTGTTTTGGTCCCAGTAATCTATTGTGTGTGTGTGATATCCGGCTCTTAGTCACCCTGGTTGATGTGAATGCGTTTAAACGCGCCGTACTCGTGAGCTAACGGTTTAGCGTGCTAATGTCCACACATTACTGGCGTTACATACATGTGAGACCGCTCCACCTCCTGTGAGGATGTCATATTTGCCACGACATGCCTTCTGTTACCCAACCTCCTCCTTTCCTCTTCTCATCCCTCCATTTCTCCTCTCTTCTCCATCCACAGATGGTCATTTAATTATTTATTTGTCTCTTTCCTGTCCTCTTCTGCTCTCCCTCACTTCCTCTCATTCTCCATTTCGTCCTTCACTTCCTTCCCTCCTCCCTCCTGGTCATTCTCTATATCTTTTTCTGTTTTATACCTTTAAGTAGTCAATTCACTTTCTCTCTTTTCTTTTTTGAGTTATTTTCCAAATCTTTTAGCTTTTTAACAAATTAATAAAACATAAAAACTTCCTAAATTTTTAGGATTTTACGTGCGTCTCCAGCAAAATGACAAATGAAAAAAATGTTTAAATATAATATTTTTGGATCTGTTTAGCTATTTGCTGATTTTTGGACCATTGGGAAACATTCATTTTAGTTACCTGGAGTAAAAAACAAACACAAAAATTCAGGATATGAAATTTATACAATTCAATAAAAATAATAATGAAAGGGAATTTCTTTTAAGTTGAGCTTTTATGTTGATTTTGTGTTATCCAAATATCTTTAATTTATTTGCTTAAAATCCTGATGTAATAAGTAATAATAATATTAAAACCTGTTTTTAGGAAATGAACTACTTGTTGTCTAATGTTAATATAATAAGTCTATAATCATCGGTTTTATTTATATGTAATATAATAAAACTAAAGAAATAAAATTGGCCCTTACCGCTTCTAAATCATCCACCAGGGGGCAGTAGACATGAATGAGATTGGATGAAGGTACTAATTTTAATACTCCATCTGGACGCTTTGAGGTACATTTTTGACAAGGACTCAGTTTTATATACATATATATATATATATATATATATATATATATATATATATATATATAGTGAAAATTCTTTATTTATCGTGGGACAAATGTCTGCCCTTACATTCAAAAGATCCTAAAAATTGTCACCAATATAAACCAGGAAGCCCCCGTCACTTGGAGGAAGTATAAAAAAAATGGTGCACTTGAGCTAGAGCTGGGCGGTATGGCCTAGAATCAATATCACGATACATTGAGGATTTCACATTGATAACGATAAATGGACGATAACTACAGGTATGCGC